ATATATATATATATATATATATATATATACATTTGATTTATTTTCATACATTTGTCGAATTGAGCCAACTGATTCTAAAAAACACAGGTAAAAGTTGATCTCAAAGTTGGAGTGTGGTAATGCTAGAATCGTCTTATCTTATTACCAATGTCGAAGTTAACATAATACTAAACATACTTCCAAATATCAAATCCTTTTGCAACAAGGAAAAGCATGCTACGCTGCATCGTTGAAAAACTATCTGTTTTGATTAATTATAAGCAAGTGTCTGATACCTTGAGCCTGCAACATACACATTTTCCTCTGTCGCATTATTCAAAGAAAGTAAGACAGGAAAGAAAGTAAGTTGTAACAAGATAAATATTTGCATTACCTTTCACTGCACAAATGTGCCAATTCAGCGACAAAGATATAAAATTCTTGAAGCATCATATAAGCAAGAGGACCAATAATCAAATAATTCTTAGTAAGTCGCCACTCTTTGTACATGTGCACCCAGTATGCAAGTGACAACATTACGTATCTTTCCTTTCCCTGAAACAAAATCACAAATTCGTTGAAAATTCATTCATCAGTCAAAAACGCACAAATCATTTATATTTTCCAAAAACTGTACTTACATAGATTTTGTCGATGTGAACTGTGAGCTTGAAAAGATATACAAGACTTCATTGTTCAAACTGATGTGCGACTACGCAAGATATTCTTGCCCATTCAAAATATTTACTTTTTAATCATCCAACAGAGGAGAGTTTTGAATTTTCCTATTTGGGAAGGGAATAAAATTATTGTTATTATATCGTTATCATCGTTATTATCACCATCATCATCATCATCATCATTCTTTTTATTTTTTTATTTCGTTCAATGCATGCTGTGTCATTTGTGATTACAAATTACACGGTAAATAGAAATAGAAATAAACGTTGAAATTTCTTTTCAACTTTACGTTTTCTAAGCAGAAATGCAAAAGTATAAAAACAAAATTACAGTTATTATGCAGGTAACGTAAATAACGTATATATATTCGGAAGAGACGAGGTACAGCATTATTACTAACAGGCATACACATGAAAGTGTATCCATTTAATTACCTACTGCTAGCCATTGAGAACTAGTGTAAGTTCGCAAGGCGATCGAGAGCCTGTCAGGCACACTAACCTTGACGATAGTTGTTCGGTGCTGCATGCCCACGCACGAAAAACATATGTGGTAAACTTCAAAGGGAAAAGCATCGGTTCCGACTGCATTTCACGTGCATTCGTTTACGAGTCTCGAACCACGAACGAAGAAACGCAACAATGAAATTTAGATTCCTTAGAAAAATGAACGGCGAGAGATCTGATTGTGCACTCCCGCTATTGCTCATACTTATTTATACACCGTTATATTTAAAATGTAAGAACGCGTCGTCAAAGAGGCACTGGCTGCTCCGACGGATCGCAAATAAATTACATACTCGTAAATATTCTTTTTTCCTCGATATTATCTGTGACACCGTGCGCGATATTGCTCTCCCGCGAAAAGTTCTCTGCGATTCGAAAGCACACTACGCTCGATTCATATCGAGTTCCCTCGAAATCAGTAACCGTCGATGAAATCACAGATCAGCGCTACCACTGTTAAACGTCGCGCTTTGTATTCTTCTCCTTTTCCATCTTACGCACCTTCTCTCCTCTTTTTCTTTCACCCTCACTCCTCCGTTCTCATCGACGCGATATCCTTTCTCCTTTTCCTACTTATGTGCCCGTACGATTAATCTATCATTAGCTTTTGTTTAAAGGGAAACTCAAACTATCGAATGAACGATAATTTCGTTTCAACAGAAAACGACACGTCCAACATGTTTCGCGCAGTCGCGACGGTAATTCGGCTGTTGTTCGCCTCTTTCCTCTCTCTATCACTTCCCGCCACTACTCTGTCGCGTGCTACACTACCGTAGAACGCGCGCACCAACTTAAGCCAGACTCGAGAATGACGTAAACCTCCAACAATGAAGAGTGATGTCACACACATCGAACTTCGCAGAGGTTTGCTCTCGTCTCTCACCGTCGCCATCGTCATCGCCATTGCCATCGCCATCGCCATCGC